CAAATCCCAAATACTAGTAATTTGGGATTTTGGCATCCCAAATCCCAAATGATTTGGGATTTGGGCAACACGTATACCCTTTAATTATATATCCGTGAAGTTTATTTTAACAATTTTGACTTTTACAGGTGTTTTCACGAACTAGTGAAAGGTGAAAAGGAGAAAAGTAAAGGAAAAGACAAGGTAAATATAAGATTATATTTTTTTTAATAAAAAAAAAAAAAAGACTCACCTTTAATTATACATTTGTAAAGTTGATTTTGACAATTTCAACTTTCACAGGTATTTTCATGAATCAGTGAAAGTTGAAGAGAAGAAAGGTAAAAGCAAGAACAAGAAAAGTATAAGGTTTTATTTTTTTTAAAAAAAAAAAAAAAGAAAAGAAAAAAAACTCATTTTTAATTGTACGAATTTGTAAACTTAATTTTGACGATTTCAATTTCTACAGGTGTTCCCATAAACCAGTGAAAGTTGAGAAGAAAAAAGGTAAAAGTAAGGATAAAGTAAGTATAATGTTTTATTTTTTTTTAAAAAAAAAAAAGAAAAGAAAAGAAAAAAAAACTCATCTTTAATTGTATATTCGTAAAGTTGATTTCAACAATTTTGACTTTCACAAATGTTTCCATGAACTAGTGAAAGTTGGAAGAAGATTGGTAAAAACAAGGACAAGGTAAGTATAAGGTTTTATTTTTTTAAAAAAAAAGAAAAAAAAAAAAACTCACCTTTAATTATATATTCGTGAAACTAATTTCGATGATTTCGACTTCTACAGGTATTTCCATGAATTAGTAAAAAGTAAAGAGAAGAAAGATAAAAACAAGAACAAGGTAAGTATAGGTTTTTTTTTATTGTTTTAAAAAATAAAAATGAGCTTTATTTTTTTTTTTAAAAAAAAAGGAAAAAAGATAAATATAAGTTTTTTTTAAAAAAAATTTTTTGATTATCAAGTTATAAAGACTTGTAGAATAATTGAGAAATTGTAGAACAATTGAAGAATTGCAGAATAATTGAAGAATTGTGAAACAATTGTGAAATTACGAAATAATTATGAAATTATAGAACAATTGCGAAATTGCAGAACAATTGTAGAATTACGAAACAATTGTAAAATTGCGAAACAATTGCAGAACAATTGCAAAATTACAAAACAATTATAAAATTGTGGAACAATTATAGAATTGCAGAACAATTGCAGAATTGCGAAACAATTGTGAAATTGTAGAACAATTGAGGATATATACCTGCCACCCAAATTCAAAATCCAAATGCTGAAATCCCAAATGCCGAAATCCCAAATCCCAAATCCCAAATTATGATTAGTATTTTTTGCCGAAATCCCAAATCCCAAATCCCAAATACTAGTAATTTGGGATTTGGGCAACACGTATATGAGGATATACAGATTAATTAAGGATATACAGATTTTTATCACAATTCCATCTAAAAAATCTGCAATATTGAAGATTTGAAAAAATAATTGAGGATATCATCTTTAGAATTGACAAATCAGATGGATCTATACATGTTTTCAAAATTGATTTTGAATTTTTGAGATATTTTGACTTTTTAAGATTTATGTGAAATCTATTCTATATATGGAAGTAAAAAAAGTATCCAGTTATGTATATATTTAATCAAAGAATAAATCTAAATAGTCAAAAAATTTTAGGTTTTAAGTAAAATAATTTCATTTTCTATGAAAAACTATTTTGACTTTTTTCTTTAAAATTATAATTAAGGTGTCTCAAAATAATTTTGTGTACAAGTATAGAGATTGTATCACTAATTTGGTATTATTTTAGTTTAAAGAAAAATGTTTATAAAAAAATTATAATTCAAATTTTTTGTATAATTTTTTCATAAATGTTTTTATTTAAACTAAAATAACTTCACAAATATAAATACTACTGGGATGAAACATATACTGTTATATAGTTAAGAACAAGGTCTTTTTTTCTATTTTAGAAATACTTTAGTAGAAAATTACTCTACACTTTATAATTTACGAACAAAGTCAAAAAATGTAAAAAATCCTTTAAAACAAATGAAAATATTTTGAAAGTTAATACTTAAAAAAATTTACTAATGATTTATCTTTATTTTAAGATCTATTCTTATTTTTTAGGATCTATTCTTAATTTAAATTTATTTTTATTTTTAAAATTATAATAATATTTTGAAATTGTATAAAATTAAAATAAATAAAAGAAATTATTTCCATTGAATTAAAATTTCTTTTAAAAAAACATTTTGTCAGCTAAATTTATATCTAATCAAATTTTTTTTGTTGTAATTATATTAATAACATGTTAAAATAATCTTTTACATAAAACAGAAGTTACTGGTATTTCAAGATATTTACAAGTAATTTTAGATAATTTTGAAAAAAGTTACATAATTATTTGCTACTACTCTAATAGATTTATATTTTCTAATACAGCTGATTTTGTTAAATAACTATCTACTTTATCAATATTAATATTGAATTAAATTTTTATTTTTCATTTGATGATATTAACAATATTCCTTAGTGAATATAATAAAAATTCTATATTATTTGTTAAAAGTGTAGTTGAATTAGATGATTCTGTAGACAATAGATTATTTGGATTAAGTTCATTATGAAGTTTTTGAATTATTCTCTTTTTTTTATCTTCTGATTCTATAAAATCCAATATTTTATAATGTGAATCTAATAAAGAAGTTATTAATTCTATATCATTGAAAAAATTCCAATAATAAATTAATGCAGAATAAATATTATTTTTGACTTTTTCAAAGATTCCTGTTGTATCTAATGAATTTTTAATAAAAATACTTCTTTTTGATATATTGCTAATAATTTTTTCATCTTTAATTTTAATTAATAATTTATTAGTAAAAGGTTCTGTTTCAAATATAGTATTTTCATTAAGATAATTAATATTATCTAATGAAGAGTCACAAGTCAAATCAAAAATTAATTTTTTAATAATTGATATTATAGTACTTAATGTTACATAAGTATCTCCTGAAAAATTTTGTATTGCATTTTCAAATACATTAAAAGATATATTAATTTGTCTAATAATTTTCATTCTTCTTCAAATAATATAATATTTCTTAATTTATTTTCATCATTTTTATTTTTCCTATTTGTACTTGTATTTGTAATTACATCTTTAAGATAAAAAAGATGATCCCAAGCATAATAAGAAGAATTCTAACATGTCAAAACATCTTGAATATATTATAATATATCTTGATAATTTAATTTGATTTGTATTTTTTTTTAATTTTTTTATTTGTTTTTATGTTGAAAAAAAATTAATTGTTCATTTTACATGTGCTATAAGAATTTCTACAGGTACTAATTCTTTATCAATTTTTACCAATTGACAACTGAAGTGTATTTAAAATCTGATATAATTCATATTGCAATAACATCTAAATATTCATATTTAACTCTACTAGATTAAAGATTTATAATTAATGATACTGTTATAGCTATTTTATTTAATAAATTCATTAAATTTTCACAGTTATATTTATAACGTTTTGATATCATTGTTTGATTTTTTGTTCTTTAAACATATTGAATAAAGAATCAAAAAGTAAAATTTTTTTTCTATATATTAAATTTGTAACTGTTGAAATAGATTGATCAATAACTAATATCTATTTAAGAAAAACTTCTTCAAGTTATTTTTGAATATGTTTAGGATGAAAAGAATGAGATTTGACAAATCAGTAATTTTAATATTTTGTAATTAAAAAATTAATTATTAAATTAATAATTATTAAATAATACTGTATAATATATAAAAAATTTCAAAATAAAAATTTAACTTTATACATTTTTAGAAGTTCTACTTTCAACATTATCATCAATAATAGAATAAACATCTTGCAAATGTACAATTAAATTTCCAGTTGAACCTCTAGTATTTCAATATGTTTGATTATATTAATTATCACTTTTATTCAAAAACTTACAAATTTGAATCTCTTCACCTTTTGAATTAAGTCTTTTTTCAAAATACTGTTTTATAAATGATAGTTTCTTTCTTTTATATTTTTTAATTATAATAATAGTTTGTTTTGTATCTATACAAATTAAAAAATACTATTTTTTATTTAAAAATTAAATATCAATTTCATAAAAATAATATTATTAAATATTACTATTATAAAAACTTTCTTCTCTATTAATTATATCAATTATAGAAAAAGTATTATCTTGATTTTCAGCAGTTGGATTATCTTGATTTTCTTCAAATGAATCAAAATCATCTGTCATCATTAAATAAAATGAATAGATTCATAAATAATTAGATAAAGAAAATATAAAAAAAATAGTTAATAGATAATTAATTATTTATTAAAAATTATATGAAATCTTTTTTATTTTTTTTATCATAACAACGAACGTTAACTTATCACATCTAATTTATTAATAAATTATTACATACTTCATTGTTATTTTCATAATACAAGTCTGTAACAAATAAATGACAAATAAAATTATTAAAAAAAAAATTTTCACTTTTTTCTCTTCACCTATTTTATCTCTTATTTTATTTCTCTCTCAATTTACTTTATTATAAATTATAAAAGTAAATTCTTTTTAAATTATAATTTCTTATTATTTATATTACCTTATTAATACTGTACCTTTATATTATTTGTATTCTCTTTATTTTCTCATGCTCCTATATTCTATTATTTAATTTCAACAAATTAATTTTATTATTTTTGTATAAATGAATTATAAATAGTATATAAGTGAATAAATTTGTTGTAACATCTTTAACAATACTGACGAACCTGAAAATGATTGTGAAATAAAAAACACATTACCTGAATTGGTATAAAAAACTCAAGACTGAGCACTGACATCACTCAAATAAGAAGAAGCTACTTACAAACAGTTTAAAAGAAAAAGAAAATAAGTAATAAGAGAAATATAAGAGTAAAAATAATTAGAGTTTGAAAATACTTCTCAATTTTCAATAAAAATATCAACAGTAGATCAAAATTATCAGGTTAAGAGAAACAGATGAAACAATAATAAAAAAGATTAGAATAAAGCTTATAAAGACAACTTCAAGAAGAATAATAAAGATAACAGACAAGAATACAACTAAACTTACTTGAATATACTTCTCAATTTACATTAATTCGTGTTATTCCAACTACTATATTTACTATATTTCTATAAAATTGAAATTGCTGAGATCATTTATTAACTATTATAAGATCTTCAATAACTCAACCTGTAGTTCACCTTATATCACAAACAAGAGAATAACCAGTTCAATATATTATTCTTATCACAAAAAAAATAAACAAGTTATCTCTATTCAAGAAATCAAAATAAGAATTTAGAAATTTTATTAAATGGATTTTAATAATAATCTAGATTTTGACATTATACAAGATCTATCAATTATTTAAATAAATTTAATAAATAAATTTCTTAATAAATTTAATAAATAAATAGCTAAAAATATTGTTACATATGTAATATATTATAAATAATCTAAATTATAATTTGGATAATTTATATTTTTAATCTATTTTTATTACAGATAAATTTTTTTTAAAATAAATAAATTCAGATTATAAGATCCATCTGGATTATAAGATTTATTCAGATTTATCGGATTAAAAATTGAAACATTAGTGAAGCTTCTAGAAATTTTATTGATCAAAATTTTGTATATAAAAATTATTTGACAATTCAAATTAATAACAAGATAACTGTAAAACTTGTAAATAGTGATAAAAAAGAAATAATCATGTGACAAAAATTAATTAACTTAATCTGAATAAATATCAGATTTATAATATTCAAGTATATCTTATTAATTTAAATTGAGATGATATGACTTACTCAAACAAATTTTCAAATTAATTGGAGAGCTAAAACTTTAACTTTTAAATATAGAATAAAAAATATTCAAGTAAAAGCAGATGTACTTGAAACTAAAAATCTTAGTATCAATACTATACTTGTATACAAAATTATTTTGAAATTCTAAAATTACAATTTTGAAAAAAAAATCAAAATAGTTTTTCATAAAAAACAAAATTATTTTACTTAAAATTCAAAATTTTTTTGACCACTCAAATTTATTTTTTGATTGAATATATATATAACTGAATACTTTTTTTACTTCTATATATAAAATAGATTCTGTATAAATCACAAAAAGTTAAAATATCTCAAAAATCCAAAATCAATTTTGGAAATATATAATTAATATTATATATATTCCTTGACAATAATTTATTATTGTAAATAATAATGATAAATTATTTGTTATATTTGCTTCCATAGAAAAAACAAATAACAAATTTATTGTACAACCCAAAAAAGTTAAAGACATCCTTAAAAAATTTCAAGATGTATTTCCTAAAAAATTACTTAAACAATTATCTCCATAATAAAAAAATAAATTATGCTATTGATTTAATTTTAAAAAGTAAACTACTATTTAGATCTATATATCAAATATTTTATAAAAAACTGAATAAATTAAAAAGATAATTAACTGATTTAACAGATAAAAGATTTATTTAATCAAATATTTTGCCATATGGAGTACTTGTATTATTTGTATATAAAAAGGATAGAACATTTTGATTATGTGTTAATTATCGTGCATTGAACAAAATCACAATTAAAAACCAATATTCTTTATTCAGAATTGATTATCCTTTATTCAGAATATTACCAAATCTGAATTAAGAAAAGTAACATATCAAAAATTACATTTTATATCTGATATGGTTACTTTGAATTTTTTGTAATGCCTTTTGAATTAACCAATGTACCTGTCATATTCATGACTTAAATAAATAACATTTTTAAAAAGTGTTAAATCAATATGTAATTATATATCTAAATGATATTTTTATATATAGTAAAAATAAAGAAGAACATTTGTAACATTTTTAAAAGATATTGGAAATTTTATAAAAAAATAAATTATATATCAAGTGAAATAAATGTGAATTATTTACATCACAAGTTGAATATTTAGGTCATATAATTTCTGCTAATTGAATTGTCATTAATAATTGAAAAATTAAAACAATAAGAGAATGGAAAATTTTTACAAATATATCAAAGATACAATCATTTTTAGAATTAACAAGTTACTATAGAAAATTTTTACTTAATTTTGTAGCAATTTCACATCTCTCACTAATATTTCATATAAAGAACAAATTTATCAATGAAATAAAAATACTCAATAAGGTTTTGAAAATTTAAAAGAAAAATTAAGTATTGTATTTTTATTAATATTACCTGATTCTGAAAAACTATTCATAATAACAACTGATATATCAAATTTTGTAATAGGAATTATATTATCATAAAATCTTGGAAAAGGAGATTAACTTATAACATAAGAATTTAAAAAATTATCAGTAGAACAAAAATATCCTATATATGAGAAAGAATTATTGGCAATTATATATGTAATAAAAATTTGAAGACCTTATATCAAAAGAAAAAATTTACTATAATAATTGATTATTCATCTTTAACATATTTTATTAAACAATCAAATTTTTATTCACAGTAAACCAGATGGTTAAATTTGTTATCTGCTCAAGATTTTGATATTAAATACCATCCTGAAAAATAAATATAATTGCTGATGTACTATTTCAACAATCACAATTGTCAAATTTTATTATTATCTCAACAGAGTTAATTAACAAACAACAATTAAAAGAAGAATACAAAAATGATAATTATTTTGCTTCTATTTAAAAAACATTAAAGAAAAAAGATGAAAATTAAGATTCACAATTAAAAAATTATGAATTACAAAATGATAAAATTTATTTCTGTAATATAGATCAATTGACAATTTCAAAAGATAAAAATATATAAACTATATTACTATTTGAAAATTATAATTCTCCTATCTCAAAATATTTTAAAATAGAAAAGACATATAAATTACTTACACAAAAATATTTCTGATCAAAAATAAATAAAAATGTAAAAAAATATATAACAAGTTGCGACTTATGTCAATGTAACAAGAGTTTCGATTAACAATTTACTAGACTTCTGTAACCTTTAGAAATCTCTACACATCAATAGGATTATATTATCTTATATTTTATTATTCAATTATCAAAAATTAAAAAAGGATATGATGTAATTATTATATTTATGAAAAAATTATTCAAAAGAACTTATTTTTACTCTATTTAAACCAATGTAATTACACCCGAGATTACTAATATATTTTTCTCTACTATCTTTAAAAATTACACTAGTCGAAAATTGATAAATCATATACACATCGGTACCCGATATGTACATGGTGCGTTCCTAATATCGGGTGTATATCGGGTACCCAATATGTGTAAAAAATATTTTATATATATATCAGGTATCCAATAAATGTAAAAAAATATTTTCTATACCTATCGGGTACCCGATATATACTTGATATTAGGGACGCACCATGCACATATCGGGTACCCGATATGTATATGATTTATTAATTTTCGACCAATGTTATAATTTATCAAAAATTATAATTTCTAATCGATATCTGAAATTTACATGTAAATTCTGAAAAATACTATTTATAAAACTTGATACAAAGTTATCAATGTCAACTGCATTTCACTTTCAAACTAATGATCAAACTAAATATATAAATTGTATATTGGAAGAAATATTATATACCTATATAAATTATTAAAATAATTGAAATAAACTTCTGTCTACTATAGAATATGCATACAATAATTTAAAAAATATTTCTACTAAATATACTTGTTTTAAAATAGATTTGAGACAACATCCAATACACCTTTAACTTTTATTAACAATAATTTAACTAATGTAGTGGCTATTGATAAAATAATACAAAAATGAAATAATATTACTCAAATTATTAAAAATAATTTATAATTAACTTAGAAATGACAAAAAACAAATATTGATAAATATAGAAAAGATTTATGTTTTAAAATAAATAATAAAGTATTAATTAATATTAAAAATATTAATAATTTTATATAAATTAATTGGTCAAAAAAAAAATTATCATCAAAATTTATTAGATCATATGAAGTTGAACAAGTTATATTCAATATTATTTATAAAATTAAATTATTATATACTTTGAAAATACATTTTGTATTTCATATTTTCATATTAAAACTTTATAAAAAGAATAATATTGGCTTTACATAACCAAAATTATCACCTCCAAAAACAACTGAAATAATGAACCTAAATATAAAGTAGAAGAAATA